TTATGTACAGACATGTTCTGGTCCTCAGACTTCTGACAATTTCTGGTGTTTCTAGTTATTTGGGTTGCTTAGTCATCCCTGCCTTTTATAGATTTCTCCATTGAAGCTGCACTTCAAGTATTTGGAAACCAGTATTGTTTTAATAGATTTATTCAAATGCTCTCTCCTTACTAAGAGTGCTACAAAGTGCTTGGTTCATCACCAACTTGCATGCTTCAATAATTGTTCCAATAGCATTTTACTGATTGCACAAGGGATGCTTTGTAGTATTAAGCCTAGGCCATGTTTGGCAAGTCAAAGACAAAGTCGGAATAATTACTTGGTTTTTCCTGTCAGTAGGTGGTATATCAAGATAGTTCTGGAATCCTACATTTCTGTTTACTTAGTTCCATTAACAAATATTTCTTGTCTGTCTGCTATGTATGTGGCTTTTTAATTTTAAGATTTGTTGTTGTGTGTTTTGCACGTGGAGCTAAAATGAAGAGAGTTAGTTTTCGTGTGGGTCCTGACTGGCAGTGTAAGCTTGGATAAGGTGCTCCTTCTCTGCCTGGGTTTCTTTTCTGTAAATGAAGGATTTTGATAACTAACTCAGAATTGCACTTGAGTTTTCCAAATGCTTTGACTTCATCAGTTGAGTAAATGGGGATGAATCCTCGTAACAGCTTCTTTTGCTTGGATGATATACCTGTTAGTCTCAGAGTGAATTTATTCTTTTCGTTGGGCATTTTACTGTGATGGCTTAGGTCCCTTTAATGCCCTACCTGGAAGCATGTGTTCTGATGTGGTTTCATTTGAGCTGGAAGACATACTCAGCTACCGCATACTTACAGTCCATAAACACTAATTATCTATTTTAATGGTCTGCTGTTTGAAGACCCAGTCTTTTCAGTTCTTAGAAAATTCTTGTTCATTGAATCTTCCCAATTACATCGTATATCAGAACACAGTTATTCATTGACTTCTTCCAATTGTAATATTATCTCCTATGTCAGTACACAGTTTTTGATGCTGATACTTTTGGTGATGTTAAGTTTATGCTTATATGCAAGAATAATGATTTCTAAAAATTAATGAAAATGTTTAGGTCAACTCTTGGGCTGAAGAAGCTAATGGAGCTTACAGCATTAAACTATATTAAGCTTTGATGGCATAGCCACAATATTTTTCCTCCAGCAGTGTTGGGTAGACTATTGGCAGTGTTTTATTTGGTACCTAACTGTGACCAGATAGTGTGCATGGGAGAACAAATAATTTGATTCCCAAGTCAGTTTGGTTTTAGCTGAAGTTTATTAAACCACAAGGAGGGAATGTGACTGGAATTAGACTTAGCTAAGTAAGTCCCATGGACTTCCAAAAAGATGCTCTGCTTTAATCAACAATAGATTTAAACAAAGTCTATTTAGAGAAAAATCAAGCTTTCTTATTCTGATCCCCCTAAGCTCTCAGCTTCAGCAATTGAAATAACTAGCACCGAGAGGTGATTCCCCTATTAATTCTACCAAACTGCAGGTGAAGCTTGCTTTTACTAGGAAACAAAAGTAATGCCACACTATTATACAATGAATACCTGAAAATCAGATTTCTTATGCAACTGACAGTGTTGCTGTCATTCATGTTATAGTGTAGGAACATTTTATTTCAGTTCTAAGAAGATAGTATATTCATAGAAAAGTCATTTTAAAATTTAATTTATTTTGGATGTACACCTGAAAGGGGTGGTCTTGGTAACTTTTTCCAGTAAATATAGTAATATGATTTTTGAATTTAAAAACATCGAAGTCAGTCAATTATTTCATTCATTTATTCATTCAACAGTTATTTTCCAAGGGTCTGTGCTGCTTGCCCAGCTCTGTCCTTGGTCTTAGGGGGAACCAAAGAATAGAGGGTGTGGTCTCACTCCTTCAAGGAATTCACAGACCAGGTGAGGAGATAAGATAGGAAAGGTAAAACGAGCAGTAATAAAGTACAGCCTGAGGACACATGCCTCTTTCAGGAACATTCTTACCAGAGACAGAAATAATATAGGAGGCTGAGGGATGTATTGCAGGATGTCAGATAAGGAGGAAATGTGCCAGAAATCATAAAATATGCATGTGGGAGCCTAAGGCAGATGGCAGGGAGAGGAGTTGAGTTAGATTTGGAGGTGGAGAGAGAGTTCATGAGCCGATCTTGCTCAGGCTGGGAGGGAGTGAGCTCTGGAGGGGACAGGGTAGACTCCTAACTTCCTGAAAGAAACCCGTGACAAGCTCCATAGTGCTCCACATCTCAGAGATGTTTTCAGTTCCTGCAGCTTGCCTGCTACCTGGAGCCTTTTGTCCCTCAGAGAACATGGTGCTGTCTGGCAGTGGGAGACCCTTGGTATATGATTTCTGAAGAATCTTTACTGTCCTACTTGCCTTGATAAAATTTCTCAAAAAGCAAATACAGTCTTTTACTCATTAAAGTCCTTGGGCTCAGTTAGAGTTGGAGGGAAACCTAAAGAGGTTTCTGGTGAAATCCAACCACCAAACTTTATAGAAAAGGAAACTTGAGCATAGGGGTTAAGTGGCTTGCCCTGAGGTCATTTATGTCTGGTCAGTGCAGAGCTAAGATTTATTATAATAGGAGGCCAGATGCCTGAATGCTTTCATTCATGCATTGATTGATTCACATATTCATCAGACAATCATTGGAAACTTACTACCCAGGCTCTGTATTAGGAGATATTAGGTGCTAGGTGTATGTGATGGCCAGGAGAACAGGCTCTTCCCTCATGGCACAAATCATTGTTATCTCTGCTCACCTCAGAGACTTGCTGTGCAAACCATTTAATCAAGGAGAATGAAGGACCAATGCTGGTGTAGGGGAA